CGCCCCGCCGGACACGGCAGGGGGCGCCCCGGGCCAGAGAAGCAAAGAGGGCACGAGCACGAGCGTGCGGATGCCCGCGCGGGATTCACGGATCGGGGCTGGACCCGCCCGTCTGCAGCTCCTGGGAGCTTCCCATGCCATCTGGCTGCTTCTTGCGAATCGACGCTGATCGACTTTCATCGGCGTGAGGACTACGCGAACCGACGCTAAACCGGCACCATCTCATCCACTGCCAGACGCTCATCGGCGCCAACGAACTCTAAACACGGAGTTACGAGGGCTTACGAAACTCCCTGCCCACTGCCCCAGCGGGGGGTCCCACAACGGTGCGGTGACAGACCGTGCGGTGACCTCGGAAACGGAAACCGGAAAGCCCTCACGGCACGGTCCCTCACCGCACCGTTCTGGGACCCTAGAGGCCCCTTTCGCCCGAAACACACATACTCGGAGAACACCCCGTAGTCCCAAACCCGCGCGGTCACCTCGAATCCACACTGATCCCCATCTCACGGAGCGGTCACCGCACCGTTTGGGGAACCCCGAGTCTTGGCGCGCGGAGCGCGCCAATGGCGGCGCCGCAGGCGACGCTGGGGGGGGGGCCTGGCGCCGATCTGGGAAAGCTGCGGGGACCTCAGCCTCCGACGGTCTACGACGAACGAACAGCACACACAAAAAAACACACACACACACACATCCATGGTAACCACTCGGCAGCAGTGACAAAGGGTCTAGAGAGGGTCTCGCCGGCGGTAACACTCGGCCGGCGGAAGCCGGCGGAAGGGCTGCGGAAGGTGGCGGACGCAAAAGATGCGCTCCCAAGAGATGACACACACACACACACACACACACCCATTGGGGGACCGCAGGGAGGAGGACTGGCTATGGGTATGGGCGCGGGCTGCTGGACCCCAGAGGGAGGCTCCCGTTCGAGCGGGGACCTCCATCCAACAGCACGCACCCGTAGCCCCCCTCTGTCCCCCATACAGTCGGGGCGTTGACCTAAGGAACCCTATATAAGGAACGATGCCCCTCTTCCCTATAAGTTGATCTTTGATTTTCCATGGAAAACCTCAGGAAAACCCAAGGCAAACTGTAAAACAATCAAGGAACACCGAGCCCCTCCCCAACGAAAAGGTTCCTTCTTCAGCGCCCCGACTGTATGGGGCATTGGCGTATGCTGTTCGTTCGTCAGTCTCGGAGGCCGCCAGGGGGTCCTCCTCCCTTGGAAATCGGTCAAGGGGGGATAGAGGGCAAAACCCCTCCCAGGGTCCATCAGGTGCAGTTTTTCATTATCACCCTGCGTCCGTTCTTGAAAGTCCCAGAGCCCGAAGACGGCCCCTGAAGACATAGAACGATACAAAACCTTCTCGAACCCAGGACCCTGACCCTAGCCCCACCTTCCTACTCGCCGATCCGCTGTCGGGCCATGTCGTACCCCCAGCCGGCTTCAACGTCAGTCTGTGCTTGTGCCGTCTTTTCTTCTTCGAACTGTTGAGCAAGGACCGACCGTCCCGGCACTCCTGCCGGCCTACCATGAAATGTTCGTCGAACCTAGTAATGTTCTAAGCACGAAAACAATCCCCTTCGAACACGAGCCCGCCGTGTTGAAACAGAACAGTATCAGCCAGAAACATGTTCTGAGAACATGTCGCGGATACCACCAAAACAAACTTAGAACATTTTGGGTGTCCCAAAACCGTGTGGTGACAGACCCGGCGGTGACCTCGAAATCCGCAAAGACCTCACCGCACGGTCCGTCACCACACGGTTTTGGGACCCTGGAGGCTCCAGTCGCCCGAGACATCAAGTCCCAAAACCGTGCGGTGACCCCGCATCCCCACCGACTCACCGCGCGGTGCGGTCACCAGCCCGTTTGGGAGCCCCCGAACATTGCTTGGTAGGCCTATAGGCACGCCGGGACGCTTCGCCCCTGCTTGAAGCCAGGCTGCCTCGCCTCAGCAGGCCGGCGGGGCCGCCGGCGCGAGGGGGGCGCGGCCGAGGCTCCGCCCGAGCGGGGCACCGCTGCGAAAGCGGGGGGGCCACGGCAGGGTCAGCGGCACGCCGGGCGGGCGGCCCCATCGGCGTGTTGTGCTGCTGCTGATCGGCGGCGCGCTCCTCTCTCCCTTTCTCTTGCTGTGCCTCTCTCTCTCTCTCTCTCCTCCGCCCTCCTCCTCCGCCCTCCTCCTCCCTCAATCCTCCTCCTCCCCCTCCTCTTCGTCCTCCTCCGTTTCCTCCTCCTGCTCCTGCTCCCCCTCCTCCTCCTCCTCCGACTCCTCCGCTTGTCTTCTTTTTCTCATGCTTTCCTTCCGCCCTCTATGCGCTCATACTGATGCGCAGAGGTATCCCGGAATGGGGGATCGACGGCGGCGCGCCAAGGAGGGAAGCGAGAGGGGGCAGGCCTTCTCCGAAGGCGGCGGGGCCCCTCAGGGACCTGCGGTCTTCTGAGAGGCGTCAAAGGAATCCCTTGATCAGCTTTCGGCGCCGTGCAGTAGGAGTACAA